AGCTAAATCGGCACAGGCAACATTGACTGACCTGTCGGCTGGCACAATTTCAATCTTGTCGCCTTGCCACTGAATCAAGCATTGATGCATAGTTGAAGGAATGCAACAATTAGCATGAATCCAATCCCTTCCACGCAACAAGCTATAAGAACCCTTCCCATCGATGACAAAGAACATTGTAGGGATGGTTTTGTTGCCGACTGTCAGCTCCACATTCAAAACTCCTTTGGTTTCTGATGGATTGCTGCCAAAATCTTTGAGCACCATGTTTGTCTTGATGAGATCTTCAGCGTTTCTGCCCAACTTCCTGAATGTAGTGTAAGGCATCAAGTTTACTGCAGCTCTACCATCGACCATCATCTTGGACATCGGCTTCTCATTGACATAACCATTTATGTACAATGGCTTAAGATGTCGATTCTCCGTTCCCTCTGGCATCTCGAAAACTGCCTGCTCTGGTGACAAAATTAGCTTAGCCGATTCTTCTTCAACTTCGTCAATATCGGCTTGCTTGATCCCAAACTCGGCAGGCAACGTGAAAACCATGTTGACCGAAGCAGTTACAACACGTTTTCCTTTAGCCAGCCTTTTTGCTTCATCAGCTGTAGCTTCATCGGCTATAAGAACTTGATTCTTAACACGCCACTCCTGCCTCGGCTTTGTTTTCTTCAGCCGATGGTTGATTTCCTACTCGACTTCCGGAAAGCGCTCCCTGTTCCTCAATCTTTGAACCCTTCTCTTTTGATTCTTCGTAAAGATACCAGAAGGACACCATTGAGTTTTCCTGTTTTCATTGTCCTCCTAGCCACGATCTTGATTCACTGGACCCAATCTTTGATGAACAGGAAGTCTTGTCTGCCTTAGCCGATTGCCCCTACTATATGATCGGCTTGAGCTCTCCGCAACATCATTGTACCCAGGACAGTCCTCAATAGATGGCAGCCTCATACCTTCATTCCAACAAAATCTAAAGAACTCACAACCCCAATGAGGATCAAAGCCATCATCATCTTCTTCATAATACTTCTCCTGCTGCTTGTCATACTTCCTTTGATACTTGTTGATAATCATAGCCGAATTTACCTGAAAACCTCTTGCACGGCCCCCATCGGCTGTTCGGCCAGCTGTATGCACCATATTAACAGGAAAAGGATTGCCATCAACCTTCTCGGCCTCTTAGAGTCATCAAATTTGATTTTGCATCCTTCAATAGCCGCTTGGATCTGCTGCCTGAATACCTTGCAATCATTAGTCGTTTGAGACCCAGAATTATGCCACTTGCAATACCTTTTCTTACCCAATTCTTCAGCCGTTGGAAATGCGTGACCAGCAGGAAGTTGAATCTGCTTCTCCCGGAGTAGCAAGTCAAAAATCTTGTCAGCCTTGGTTATATCAAAGTCATACCTTTCCTCTTTCCCTGAGTTCTTCACCCATTGGCATGGTATAACCTTTTTACTCCTTACCCATTCGGCTGCAGCTATCTCAGAATCATCATCCGACCCATACATATAAGGACAGACATGGTTAACTTTCCTAGAATTCTTCCTCGCCTCTGCAAACCTTTGTTCATGCAAGGTTACCTTTTGTGTAAGATGGGACAAGCTTTCAAAATCCTCAGATGAGAATTTCTCCCTAATTGGAGCAATCATACCCTGAAAAGCCAAATCGGCTAACTGGGCATCAGTCAAGCTTAAGCTGTAGCACTTATTCCTCATCTCTCTAAATCTCTGAATATACTCATGCACAGGCTCATCATGTCTTTGCTTGATGGATGTCAGATCGGACAATTTCATCTCATGAACCCCACTATAAAAATAGCTGTGAAACTGCTTTTCTAAATCGGCCCAACTGTTAATTGATCCATATGGTAAAGAAGAAAACCAAGTAAAGGCTGATCCATACAAAGATAACCGGAACAACCTAACCTTCAAGGCATCCACAGCCGATGCTTCACCACATTGGGCTAAAAATCGGCTAATGTGCTTATAAGTCGATATACTATCTTGCCCTAAAAATTTTGAAAAGTCTGGTACCTTAAACCGATTGGGTAGAGGAACCCTCTCAAACCACTCAGGATAGGGTTGTCGGTACAAATTTCCAGCATCTTTCAGCCTAAGCCCAAACTGCTCCTTCATGACATCTGCAATCAAATCGGCCCATGGTCGTTGTTGAGGTGTTCCTTGAGATTGCTGTGGCATAGGCTCGAATTGGTTGTATTGAGGAATAAATTGGGGTTGAGCCGATCCTGCCTGCTGGTATTGAACTTAAGGTGATGGTGGCTGATACTGATAGTTCAAATTGCCCCCCTGATAATTTTGAAGATCTGGCTGAATATTGCGCACCAAATGTTCAGGAATAACTTGAGGAATCACTGTGCCATCTGGTTGTACGTGATGAACCAAGTACTCTGGAACAACTTGATTCGCAGCATGCTGCACAGGCTGACCACCAGGTGTTGCAAACCCTGCCGATGCATTCATTGAACCTTGCTACTGAATCGGCTGGACAACGTGCTACCTTAATGGCGCTTGCTGAATCGGCTGCAAGACCTGCCGTCTAGGTGGCGTCTGCTGAGCTGGTTGCACAACCTGTTGGATTGGGGGTGTCTGCTGAATTGGTTGCACAACTTGCTGCCTTGGCGGTGTTTGCTGAATCGGCTGCTGCTAGGTTGGATCAATGGTGTGTTGAGGAGGTAAGAACATAGATGCAACCTGGTCTTGCGTTAGCCGATTCACATTCTATCTAGCGTGCTGTGGCTGTTCTCTCACCAACAATCGGGGATTAATTACTTGGCCTGGAGCCGAAAGTGTTGGAGCAGGTGCATGAGCCGATACTGGTGCCGTCGGCTGAGCCGATGGTGCATTAAGAGGGATTAACTGGACGACTGGTTGATTATCAGTGATTATTGGTCGATAATTAGGGAATACTCCTCCTGGTAGGTACACCGGTCCTGTAGCTTGATACTCGGCCATTGAACCATCAACCATTGACTTCACCATGTTTGCCAAAGTGTTGGTTAATATTCCAGATTGGTTGATCAAAGCATGGTGTACAGCATAGTCAACCTGATCTTGAAAGTTGTTGAACTGCAACTGTGCTGCATTGTCGTCTTGATTAACACCTCCACCTTGAACTCCCTGAGAACCATCACCTTGAACCCCTGAGAACCATCACCTTGAACCCCGTGACTCCTTGAGAGTTGTCACCTTGATTTGCTGGAAAACCATATGTGGCACCTTTGTCACTTGGTTGAGCCAAGCCATCTGGAGCTTGTTTCCCTTCTTCATCCTTAGAAGAACTAGTCCCGGGATCATCAGCAACTACCTTTATTTTATACTTCTGAACAAGTGTTCCCTTGCGGGTCTGCATGAATGAGTTCAAGAACTGATCCCGTGCTTGCTGCATCATCTCTTCAAAATCTTTCTTTTGATCAGGTGTGAACTTTTCTGGATCGATGGTCATGATGTTCCCTTCATTAACGTCTAACAAACCTAACTTCTGAATCTTTTCTTTAACAGAACCTGGGCTAGCCGAGGACGGTGATGGCGGTGGTTTCTCGGCCATGAAGAAAACTGCTTGTCTGACTCCTAATCAGTCCCACCAGGCGTCCCAAAAGCGTGTTGACGTAAAACACGAGGCCTGGGAAATCTGCTTAACTCCAATGCAGGTCCAAAACTCGCCTTCGGGTATGCTAGCGTGCCAGTTAATTTGATCCTGCAATCAACAAGAAATAAAGACAAAGAAACCGTGGTTAAACCTATAAACGATAGCCGATCGGCTAAATGCCGATGACATATCATTTATCTTTGAGCCGATGTCATATATAAATCAATCGGCAGTTATAACTAGATAATAAAGAACTAGATCTTGTCGATCGGCTGTAGATATTAACAATATATAGTTCTTATATCGATATATACTTAAATCAAGTGATTGGGATAGATCGGTCGCCATGCCGAGATAGTATAAATCACTTAGATCGAAATATATATTAATAACGGGACTATATATGTTTATAGCATAGCCGATCAGATAGATCTAGCAAGTATTGGCTAATACTCCGATACGACTCTATGTTAAGATGTTAAAGCAAGTAGAATATACCAAACAGAAGCTTAATATACTTATATCCAATAAAATCTTGACATAAAGGGCAGATTTAACGTGTCAATGAAGCATATAGAGCAAATATAGATACATCAGGTAAGATCGGCTGAAACTCCGATACTACCCTAATCGGCAACCAGAAGGCAGGCTATAGATTGATATTCTAAGCACGACTTAATAAATCAAACTCAACTGATGCAGCCTTAAGTATGAAAAGAAGAACAATTTCTAGACAATCAAGTCGCTGGAAGTTTCATAGAGTGGTAGATATCTTATATAATCTAAACCAACGTCGATATCTAACTTAATCGGCTGCCCTCTGTTAACAGATGTTAGCCGATTGTGGGTTAGATGGCGATATTTCTAGAGATTATGTAAGATATATGGTAACTCGACGAATTACATAAATAAGATTAGAGTATCATAAAGATGGAAGCACTAATCCCGAGAACGCAAGCCGTCATAACAAGTTTTACCTCTTGTTGAAGATCGAAACCGATACAGCTCAACATGAAAGCAAGAACTCGTCGAAATAAAACAAAAGCAAAAGGATGGCGATGCGCCGAAATTGTATTGAACGTGTGTGTTCTTTGATTACATGGGGTTCGGGGTCTATTTATACCCGAAAATTACAAACTATGTCCATGTCGGACACGACTCTTATCTCTAACAAACTCTAAGATACCATAAGTCTTTACGGTAGACTTTTGCCCTAAACATATCTCTAAGGAAATTACATAAAACATCCTAATTAATAGATACAATTGCCTTCTCAGGACTCTATCCACGTGCGGTAATCATCTTGAAGCATATCAACTCAACCCGATGTTGTACACCAAGTCGTATTGTCGGAATCGGCTGCATCGGCTTACCTAGTCCGATTCGGACCCAGCCAATCCTAATCGTAGCCGATCTGGACTCCAGCCGATTCTTGCTCTGTTCTCGAATCGATCTCCGCCTTCGACTCCACTTCGATATAATCTTCTTTTCCGATGCTTATATTACCAAATTTGGTCGTTAACAGCACCATGCTTAATTTAAAAAGCCTATGGATGTACATCGATAATACACCCAAATCAAGTCATACAAAAATGGACATAAGGAGCATAACATATATGATCAAGCCATATTCACATAGTGATAAGTTTGAGTAAAAAGAATGGTGAACCTTGTTTTATCTTTCGCATACCTTAGTGTACTTAGCGCCAGCATGACGTATATATTGGAATATCTGGGGCAGTGGCATGGTCACCTATGATTGTCGATTTCTCCTCCATCTCAATGTAGATTGTAGCGGAGGAAGGCACTTTGACCATATGTCGGGTCCCAAAACTAATGATTTGGAAACCGACATGTTTAACTGTATCAAGCCCTGGATTGGTAGATTGATGCAGGTTCAACAATCTGGATCTTCATCGCATGCACTTGGTCAAGGCTCCAAAGGAGACGTTATTACATAAAATAATAGGGGAATTTACAAGCTTGTGGCTAACTAATCCAGCAGAGGCTATAGAAGGACTCGACGTTGATGTTTTACTATAGACTTAAACCATCTAACTAATCTAGACTTGAGAACTAGGTTGACATGAGACTAACTTATATGATTGAACTCCCAGCTTCGGCAAAAACATCAAATGGACTCTGAAAAAGGGGTTGAAGCAAGGGTGAGTACAACGTACTCAGCAAGCTATTATATTCAATAATGAATGTATGAAATGGTAATATTTGAGTAGAGCTAGGTTTAATTGCAGAAAGCTGAGAATAAAGAGCGAGAAAGCCTGCAATGTTTTTGATGCAACAATATTTAATAAAATATGGAATTAAGTTTCTAAACATATGAGCCTTGATACTCAAATCCGTTAGCACGGCTATTTGAATACTTTCATAAATACTCTACTGTAATAGATGTATGCTTTACCCGCAGTCCATAACTTGCCAATAATCATTAGCTTAGTCATGGCCCAGTATTAGGTTACTAACAATAATGGCACCTGTTCCATGAACTTGAGTCCTCATGCGCTCTGAACGTGACGTTATCAGCAGTGAGAGGAGTTCTAGCGTTCCCGAGGTCTTTAGAGAGAACTGATTGTATGACACCATGTCATCGCAATCAGGGTTCACAAACGTGATCACAATTTATCTCAAATATATATTTACCTGCGCCTCGGTAAATATCACAGTATTGCCCTGCTCGGCATAAGTTTGCCTACTGCGCGAGGACTTAAAAATAGAACCACTATACAGAGGTACCACATTGTTAATTAACATAATAACTAGGTCTGTCCCCATTCTAGAAGCTGCGGTCGTACTCGTTCATTTGACATAAGTATTTGGTAACAATTATATCGACTGAGACAGTACTAGCCACCCGGAGATCAACCAACTCCTACGTACTGTCCCAATATAAGTTCATTATATTTTTATGCAGTCTAACTAGGCAGGGCTAAGCAAAAGCTAGCACATCTGGTTTGCTATGTTCAGGTTATGCATTCGAAATCATGTATGACTAATGCATGAGATATCGGAGATATAGAATATAGGGCATCTATGCTCAAAGGAGAGGAATAACAACTTGCCTTACTCCAACGCAAATAAATCTAAGATAGGCAACCTGATTATCTGATCCTCGAAATACCACGAGTTGCCATCCAAAAGATAATAGACTCTACTAAGAAAGAGGAATAACCAAATTGAATAAAAATCATGAAATGGCAAGAAAGCGATGAAGAGCGAGAAAGGCTGGGTTTGAGGTATAAATATCTCATTTTTATTGGGTATAGGGATTATTGGGCTAATATTTTATGTGGAGGTTCTAGAGGGTTGGAGGCTAGATGGGATTAAGCAACCAGGGTCGCTTATATTTCATGTGCAGGTTTTGGTTGATGGATAGTAGGGGGTATAGCGGATAGTCTAACTGATTAAACGGAAATGTGGCTAGTATTGGCTAGGGTTTGGTTGTTTGCTAGTCGTTGCTAGAGTTGGGTAGCATAACGACTATATTTGGTATCTTCTCTAGCCGGTGTCAACAGAGAGAGCATAACAGCTAGATGGATAGGAGGTTTGTGCTGATTTAGCGGGGCGGAAGTGTTACTCCGACAACCGTGAGTGGCGGCAGAGCGGTTAGGATCACATAGAGCCCGAGAGCTAACTGTGCGGCGTGCCGTGGAGGTCGAGGGATTAGTGAAGCTCCGTTATACGCATCGAGGCGTGAGGTGCTAGGAGCAACACTTCGACCTTAGGTTTGGTTTTGCCGGGCTTTACAACCAACGGTTCGACATCGGGGCCTAGTGGACCACAAATGTCCCCATGCATGGAAGGTGTAAAGTTCCAATCGGCGGCTTTTTACTGGCTAAAGGGGTATTTTTTGGGTAAAAAGGAAATATTTGAAAATCAAATATACATTCAAATGGCATTAAGGAATTTCAAATAAAATAGTAAAATAGCAAATTTGGTATCAAAATATAGGGTTTGGATTCAAATGAATTTAGGTCCAAATAGTAAAATAGCAAATTTGGTATCAAAATATAGGGTTTGGATTCAAATGAATTTAGGTCCAAATAGTAAAATAGCAAATTTGGTATCAAAATATAGGGTTTGGATTCAAATGAATTTAGGTCCAAATAGTAAAATAGCAAAATTGGTATCAAAATATAGGGTTTGGATTCAAATGAATTTAGGTCCAAGTTTCACTGGAATCGGGTCTACGGTTTAGGAGATATGGGTTTCTAAAGATTGGGTTTTGAATTAAATGGGGAAAATGAGTTAAGTCACTGTGCAGGGACCCACCTGTCAGGGAATCTTCTTTTCTTTTCCTTTTTATTTCTCTTCTTCTTCTTCTTCTTCTTCTTCTTCTTCTTCTTCTTCTTCTTCCCGTTGCCTCTTCTCTTCCTTTTCTTTGGCAGCCGAGAGAGAGAGAGAGGAGAGGGCGAGCGGGGCGCTGGCTCTCTGGTGGCCGAAATGCGGCGATGCCGGCAACATAACGTGTTCCCCGTCGGCGCACATCCAGGGAAGGTAGTGGTCGGCAGTGGAAGTGAGAGAGGAGGCTGGAACGGCGCAGCTAAGAGCTCAGCTCCGGCCAGTTTGGGTGGTGATGGTGGTGGCTTAAAGTGAAGGGGAAAAAAAGGGGAGATCGGTAAAATGGGTTCGCCGGAGGGAGACCAACATAGTGGCACAAGGAAAAGGATAGAAACACTATGGTGGAGGAGATCGACCGTCGGCGGCGACGGCCGGACATGGGAGGAGAGAGAGAGCTCAAGTAGCTCGGCTCTGTTTTGAATAGAGAAAAGGGGAGGGTTCACCGGCTATTTATAGGCGGCGGACGTTGGTTCACAAGGGTCAATTTGCCGGAGGAAGACGAGGAAGGCACGGCAACGGCTACGTAGGGGAAAAGAAAACGGCGCCGGCCTCGTCTCCTGATTGGGTATCCATGGTGGCGCGCACACGCGGCGACACCGGGAGTGTTGGGCGGTAGAGGAGGACGGACACGGCACAACGTTGACGTCGGCGCCAGCTGTGGGCAGTCAACGATCAGTGGCGGCCAGCGTAGACTCTACAGCATTGTACAAATGGATCACGCCTTGAAGGTACAAGGTTGTTGCACCCGAGATGTGTGCATAACCAAACAACTCGCCTGAGTTGGCATGGTGTAACATCATGAAAATTAACTATTTTCTAATCATGCATCATGTCGTTTCTTATGTTCTTAATAACTTGCTAAACCTAGGAAAATATAATTAGCGGGACCTCCTAAAACTAACTTGCATAACATCCCTCTCTAGTATTTAACTTTTTTGTGTTTTTCATTTAAAGATATATTTGGTTAAGCAAAAACGTGCAATCTGGTGATCAACGGCCACGAAACAGGTTTGGCCGAACTGGTGGTTCGACTGAACCTAAAAACCCTCTTCCTGACCTCTCCTTTGGCTGGTAGGTAGCTTATTGGGCCCCCAACATCATGTACTTTGATTTGTCTCCATTCTAAGTGGTTTTGGTTGACATATGGGCCCTCCAATCCGTGTAAACGCGTCCTGAATGTGCAAAGGTGCATTTTGTCGCATGACGGATGTGTTTTCTCCTCAAAATACCTGCATACACATATTTCACCAACACTAGTGAAAATGATTAGTAATAAACCCTACCACTAAGTTGGATGCCATATTTTATTTCATTATATGCAAGTATTGATGGTCAAAAACTATGATTTAAAGACCGTAAACATTAATTTCCAGTGATTGCTGTGTATCCCACAAATAGTTAGAGGTATGTGTAGAGGTGGTGACAGCCCTCAAGAACACTTAAGTCCTCATTGTCGGGGTACGGAATAGAGCATGTTCTGGTAGTAGCGAGCAAGCATGTGCATGAAGTACCGCTATAGGATTAAATTAAGCTTTCCGTAGATACTATTTCTCACTAGGAAATCCTCTCTACTCGTTGTCTATGTTTGCTTCGTGTCCTTGGATGAACATGGAGAAGAGCTGAGCACACTCTTTCCCTATGGAAAATCGATACCTTGGAATACTCCCAGGTGAAGTGCTACATCTTTCTCTGTTCTTCTTCTTCCTCTCTTTCTCTGTTCATCTTCTTCATGTTCTCTCTTTCTCATGCGTGTGCTGCAACAGCTAGATAGCACGTACAGTGGCTAGCTGGAAGGACGGCCGGACGGGCGAGTCGAACTGAGGGGCGTGGTGCGGAGAGCGATCGTCGGGCAAGACCAAGAGAAGCGTGGGAGGCGTGCGGGCCCATGGCGGCAAGTCGCGCATGCTGGAATGGTCTCCAACGTGCACCGACGACAGCGGCGGGTGTGCTACTACTACGACCCAGGCCCACCTGCGTCGCCATGGCGCATAGCCTCGTCGGCTTCTATGGCATGCTCGGTGACATGCGCCGCCTCCGCGACCTCATCCCGGAGAGCTACGTCAACGATGCCGCGCTTCGGCAGAAGGGGGAGGATGACCACGGCATCGGTTTACTCAGTGGCGATGATGATTGCCCCGCCTTCGACCGCCTCTGGAAGTACTGCCGCGCCTACGCCGGTGGGTAGCTCGCTGCAGCTTGCGTGCTCGTCGACGGCGCCTCCGACATCGCCATCAACTGGTCCGGCAACATGCACCATGCATCCGCGTGCAAGGCCAATGGCTTCTGCTAAGTCAATGACATCGTGCTCCCTATAAACGAGTTCCTCGGCAGCTTCAGGTGCGTCATCTATGTCGACATTGACTGGCACCGCGACAACAGCTTCAGGCGCGCAGAATGCCTTCGTGGACTCCTAGCAGCCAAGAAGTCGGTGGCCCCATTGATTTGAGGCACGCGCCGCTGTATCCGTGCCGGCCCAGTCGCCATTGCGCCACCGCCGAGCTCCCCAAGAGATCGGTGCCACCGTGCATTGCCGCGCCGTGCGCCAGGATGCCGCTGTGCGTCGTCGCCGTTGGCAGTGAACCCCGGCGATGTGCCACCGCCGCTGCCCCGCCATGGCTGAGCCGTCCCGGCTCGGGCCGGCCGCGTTGGCTGCGCGCATCGCGCCTCTGCTCGGCTCAGTAGCAAGCGAGAGGAAGAAGACGGGAAAAGAAAAGAAGAGAGAGCAAGGTCATTTTGGTACTTACATAACTCTTTCTCTCTCCATTTTGATTGGGAATAATAAAATAATGGGAGGAGTGTCCAGCATCTAATTACCACTTTTTTACGATATTCCAAGAAAAGATTCATGATCTTCAGGTGTCTCACAGCAAAGGCCGCAATTTTTTGGTGTCCTGTTGCAAATTTTGCCAAATGACAAACAAGGCACACAATAAATACAAGCTAAAAAGCTACTGAAACAGCAAAAAAAAAACCAATTTTAGTGGATTCTTGACATTTTAATGAATTTACTACAATTTGAATGGGTTAAAATGGAGCTTCGACTATTTAGTTATGAATTTGACAAGATGCTCTGTGTTATTACTAATAACGGAAAAACCTTAATCAATTGATAGAGATTAAAGCCCAAAAGTGTAACATCCGGAAGTTTTAATTAATCAACTTAGGTGGAAATCGGGGTATGTCCTTAGTAAAAGTTGGATGTTTTAAAGCTATTTGGGTTCAAAAACCTCATCTGGTTAATTTGTGTATAAAAAAGATGGATAGAAATTGAAACCATTTTCCCAAACTATTGGTTTGAGTTAATATGAAACTTTAGTGATCATTATAGTAGACTAATGACCCTACAACCTTTTTGGTAGATAAACGAAAACTATTTTTTTAAATGACTCGTCCAGCGTTCAGAGAGTGTTTTGGTGCTAATAAAATCTAGCAACACTTTTGAGGCGTAGCTCGGCTAATTTGTGTTTTCCCTTCCACGAGGGGAACATTGTTTCAAGAGACCAAGCTGACTCAATACTAGATAATCCATGAAGCTCTGGTGTTTGGAGTCTTCTACTTTTTAGCTTCTAAGCTTTGTCCAAGCCTCTTTGTATATAACCAAATTAAATGGTCAAGCGGTAGTTAAGAAACGTTGTAGTATAGTCGTTAATCTTTCGCTCTTTGGATAATCTACCCGATCATGCTTAGCAACTGGCTAGTAGAATTAATAACTAGTGAGTGATTGTGTGCTTGTGTACTTGTTTGTTTGTAGTGAAGTCTAATTTATTGGCTTGACTGATGTTTATGCCGTTCATAATTGGTTGGTTGATGCATGTTAAATAAACCTAGAGACTATTTAACAAATCTAAGCAACACACATCCATGAAGATCCTCTTGTCACTTAGCCAACCTAAGATAACCACTATGAAGGTTTCGTGATTTTATCAAACTTTTTACTACCTCAAGTAAAGCAGTTAAGGTAGTCAAACTAAATTTATTAGAAACCTAATTGGTAAAATGAAGAAACATCTAAATGTGCCTAAAGTTGAACTGAAGGATATATGTTTCATAATTTATTCAAATACTAGAGTACTTATCAAGAGTTAATATATTTTTTCAAGAATTTTTACCCTTAGTTTTGACCTCAAAATTCAATTTAGTTCTCAACATACCCCTTTTCATCTTTTTGTCAGAATTAAAATATTTCAAATTTTTGAGTGAAATTTTGAGAAATGGAATCTGGGTAGCATAGGTTATTACCAAAAAAATCATCAAAATTTTTAGCATCATTCTAACTTTCAATTTGAACTTCAAAGAAAGAGACAGAAAAATCTAAAATCCTGTAAACTGAATAAAACATCGGTTTACTTTGTTCCTAACCATCCTCCTCACCCTTACCTAGTCTACCACGACCTGGACCCACATGGCAGTGCCTTTGGCTTGCCCACACTTGTGTTCCACCATTTAATCGCGTGGGACCCACCTTGAACATAGAGAGAAATACCGACACGTTCCAACATCGTGGCAGCTTCTCCTTCTTCACCCCCTTGCTCTCTAGCTTCCCCACCCATCCCTCCTCACTCTGTAGTCCACCCTAAATCCAAGAAACCAGAGTGGGAGAGCTCCTTCTTGCTCTCCTCGCCATCATCTTCTTGCCGGCCGCCGGGATGATGCCATCTCCGCCGCCCAACGGGTCATCGTCGTTGCCATCTTTCTTCCGTTCCCGATTCACCCTTGCATGCCGTAGCCTCTGCTCTGTCTGATCTCACCTCGTTTCTTGGAGCCGATCTCTGGGAACGCCGACCTCGCCACGGTAGCTCTGGAGCGCGGCCACACCGTCGTCAACGCGCAGCTGTGGGTTCGCGCCGCTGTTCCCGTCGCCTCGAGGCGAATCCGGTTGAGCTACTGCGCCACCAGCTTCGCCTCACCATTCTCTCCAAAACGCCCCAAGAATCTCTCAGAACCGTGCAGCGAGGAGGGAGATCAACCACCGTCTTCTCCAACTCCGATCTAGTGCCTCCGTCGTCGATTCCCGTTCAACCGGTGAGCCATTTGTCGATTTATTGCAGTAGTAGCAACCTTAGGTGGTGTTCTACATCCTGCATGTGATGTTCTTGACATGCATGCAATAGATCGAGCCGTCCACCTTGACGCATCGACGCATGCATGGCGTCCCGAGCGCTTCCAATTGCAGCTGCTGCCTGCGTCGGTGCAGTCACCATTGGCTGGGGAAAAGTTGAGGAATGGAATCGCAATGTTTTGCTCTACATTTTATCTTTTGACCTCGCCCCCATTAGAGCCGCCGTTTGCCGCCGGCGAGCTTGAGATCGAGCTTGAGATCGAGCTCAGCCATGGCTGTCGCTGCTTCCTGCTCTTGTGGAGAAAAGCTGGACCTGGTTGAAAGTTTTAGAAATCCCAGGGTTCGACATGCAAAAGTACAGTCCAAAAGAATAATCGAAAACATATATGAGAACTAGGAAAACTTCAAAAATCCATAACTAATTCATCTTTACTCATTTACGAGTGAACCAAATTTCTATGTGTTCATAAATTTGTAGTCTTTATGTTTGTAAATTAAAACATTACAACTGCGGTACTGAAAAAGTCACTAAAATTGTGAGTTTCATAAAATACACTTATTTTTGCACATAGGAGTTGTATAATCTCTAGGAACTTTATGCTATATCCTAAAATTATGAAACCACTTTTGGTTACCTTATAAATATGTAATCTTTTATCTGAAAAGAAATAATTTGACAAAACTACCTCCTAAAGTAAAACGATTAAGTAATCCTCTTTTTATTAAAGTTGTAAAATTTATAACTAAATATTTTAACTCCAAATGTGGTGAACCAAATTTTGTTACAACCAGTGAGTTATGCTCCATTACTTGAAAATGGTAGCTTGTTAAAACTAGCTAGAAAATGTCAGTTTTTATATGACATAGGGTAGTTCTTACGTAATTACAGATATGCCATATTCAGTGTATATGGCTTGTTATTTTTATATCTCTCAAACCACAAATGTAAATGAGATGATTCTTGTTTCTAAAACCAGTTTATCATACTCTCTACCTACTGTAATTAGGCCATGATTTATAGAGCATGTTGCATATGCATGTTTATTTGAATCATATTTGCATATTTGCCTCTTATCGGTAGATTCGGAGAATTCGGAGTACGTGCAGCAAAGACTCCGAGGTTGAGTGTGAGTTCACACAGCAGCAAGGCAAGCGTCTATGCATATTGAACCTATGATTTCACAAAACTTATTTGCTTGCAAAAACTATATATATGCATGAGTTGAATTGCCTTAAAATGTCGGTAACGGGTAGAGTTGTTTATATCCAACTAGGTGATACCCCGCGCTTTGCGGCGGGAATTACTGAGTAATCTTTCACATGTTTTTTTAAACAGTCAAGCTATTGACAACAATTATAATAGTTTGCCAAACCTGGTTATAGTAGAGAGATAAAATTAATATACCATGTAGAAAATTATCAACAGAATGTTAGATTGCTGCCTAATATTTATATTGCAAGGAGAAGTTAGGAAGAAAATAGATGAAAGGGCAGGGTTTATTTGTACTAATCTTGGAACAAAATTCTCCGTATCACATGATTCCTAGTAATTGAAAACATATATCCAAGAAAAAGATAATTACATAAATTATATATTTGTTGAAATAATTAGATCATTGCAGGTACTATGTCCTTAAGTATATTCCTGTATGTGTCATAAACTGGAAGACAACTTGTATATAGATTTGGTCCAATCAACTGAGATAATTAATTCGATATCGATATTGAAGTATTTATAAACAAATTAATACGATGACCTAGTATAGATTTGATGGTTCGATTTGGACAGGAAATTTGTAGGAACAATACTACACTTTCAAGTTTCTTCTTCTCCCCTACTCTATCAATATATAAGGCAATCTTCTTGCCTTTCCTTAAAAAAAAAGTTTCTTCTTCATGCTGACATTTTGGAATGTCAAAGCTTAGTGATTAAGTAAACTAAATACTTGGCACATTCAAGAATGTATCACATGTTAACCAAGAGCATTCTGCGTGAGAGCTTAATACTAAAATCTATAAAAAAATAAACAGGGATGAGAGAAGAAATGTGGGAGCACCTATGGATCGGGCGACCGATCTGGGGCTGGGAAATTGGGCGCTGACCAAATTACTTTAAACCGATTTTTCTCTTAAATTACTTATCCAAATCATGATCCGATTGCACTATTAAATTCGTTGCAATTAAATCTTCAAAACAAAACCACACATGGATATATTCCGACGAAAAAAATAGCTTATTATTGATTTTTTTAAATGTTGCATGATGTTTCATCAGGTATATCGGAATTGTCTCACTAAGTAAATCGAAAATGTTTCACTCGCTTAAATCGGGTGTTGTTACACCTTATATAAAAACAATGTTTCAGCAAATAGCGAAAGAATGTTTCAGTTCACTGCAACATTAGATTTATAAATAGTGAAACATTGTAATTACACTAAGTGAAACATTTTTCGGTGGAACAAAAAATAAACCAAATTCCCTTAATAGGGGGTTTCTAAAATATGTGGGTTTTTTGTTGCAATGGAATATTTCGTTCACTGCAACATTAGATCTATACATAGCGAAACATTGTGACTACACTAGGTGAAACATTTTTTATGGAAAAAAATAAACCAAATTTCCTTAATAGAGAGTTTCTAAAATATGTAGGTTTTTTTTGTTGCAAAAGAGTATTTTAATTCACTGCTAGCTATATTAGATCTATATATAGTGAAGCATTATAAGTACACTAGTTGAAACATCTTTTTGTGGAAAAAGGGAGAAAGAAGTGGGTGGGCCAACAGGTAGCACGTGGGCCAGGGGCGCGCGCGGGGCGAGCGCCCGATCCGTCTCCCTCCGTGCCGATCGACTGGCGACAAGCATTATCGAAGAAATGATGGAAACATGGCATGATACAAACTAATAAAAATAGGAAAAGATACATACCGTATAGGAAAAATCCTTGTGTCCAACTCGATCCAATAATTTTCTATGCAGATCTTATAGTGAATAATTAAATAATTGTTCTACCTTTGTCCAAGATTGTATATATATCCAATGACGTCCTAGGGTCCTGTAGCAACTCGTTTCAAGGCCAAAGCTGCCTATAACTGCTAACAGATAAATCCATGTGCCTGTGGATAAGTGAATACAAAATTTAACTTGGTATTTCCTTGTGATTCATCATGCAAGCCCCAACAACAGAGACCTAAAATCAGGGGAAGTGAATGTAGGTATTTTATCAGAAACTTTCCGAACAACAAAAACTGGCATACAACTGATGCAAGTGCATTTGGGCATTTTATCAAACACATAGTGCACATATAATTGGTTAGTGTGCGTACCTGTGCTAAACGGCAGAAGCTTGTGTGGATCCAAGCGATACAGGAAGAGGGAAAGGGATCCTCTGACTTAACTGCTGTGCAGTTGAGTCACTGATATGTGGGCCATAGCAAAGTGGGACCCACAGAGGATCTGCTTCCAGGAAGAAGAGTTTGTCCAGCAACGCGTAGTTGATCTATGGGGGAGGTGAAGGCAATTGATTCAGAGCTCTCGAGGTATATTGCTTGATATAGGAGCATTTGAAAGCGGTTATGAAGAGGATTCTTATTGCTGATTTACTTTGAGTCAGAAGGGGAGGAGTCCTGGCGATGCGGCAGCTCGAGCTGCGCATGGTAGCAACTCCCTCGCAACCCCTGTCAATGCCTCGCTTCCTCTTGCGGCGCTGTGTAGCATGTGGGATGGACGGGGCTATGTTTTTATTCTTTTCTCGGAGAAGCGGAGGGGCTTGGTCAACGAGTAGCCTAGGCTGGCCCAATATTACCGAAACATTCATCTGGGAAATCTGCAGGACGATCCAACGGCTCAGGAAGTGACGTGGCTCAATATGGTGCAAGCTTTATAGTAATAACTGTATAGGACTATATAGGAAGAAGGGATTTCATGCATTTCCCTTCCTTTAATATATTGTTGCCCTGTAACCTTGTCACCTTCAATTGTAAATGGTTAGGATGGTTTATTCTATCATCGAATGCTTAGCCGTGCTTAGGTCTACTTTTGATTCACCACCCGTGATTTATGGGTATTAAAATCTGATTACCTCACTCAATGATTAATATGGAAACATGCTTTAACTTGGACGGGTGATAGGGCGATGACGGGACGGTGATTTTCCCTGATGCAAGTAGCCTCGTCTGGGTTGTTAAGGACCGAACATGTTGACGTATATTCAAGCACCATACGTACTTCCACACGCCTTATTTGGGGCCGGCTTGTCTGTTTTCAAGTTTATAGGATGCAATTGGAAAGCAAATATGCAATTGGAAAGGGAAATATGCAATGTGATACAAGTTACCTCAGTGGGGAGAGAGATGTCTCCCCCCAAGCTTGGCTTTCGCTCAGGGTCCTTGGTAAGGATTGAATCCCTGAAAGCGGAAATATGCTTGAAGGTCATCGTGTTGTTGCTGCATCATGTTGTTGATGTTGGCAAATTGAGCATTAGTAGTCTGTTGTCATTCTTGTGTCTGAGCTATGTGTTCCGTGAGGTTGTATTGGATCTCCCCCGTCTGCACATCAAGGGTGTCCATTCTCCTAGTGATTTCACCCAAGTCCCAACGAGAGGAACTCGAGCGCCATTCACTTGGACATGGAGGTACTCCACTTGATCTGGGAGGTTGGTTGTCCCCCCACTATATGTCATGAGGCGCATGCCACCGGTCCTCACTGGCACTTGCCCAGCTTGAGACACCGATGTTGTGGCGTGGAGCTTGGGTCCATCCGAGTGCATCCCCAGTTGGTTCCCAACCTGCCTCATATAATCTGCACGGGTGTTGAGGATGATGAACTTTCTCGTTCGTTCCTTGCCATGTTGTGTGTGTCCCTGTATACTCCACCTGCATGAGATTCTTCTATGGTCTGCAGGGGAATGGTTAGCTCACGGCAGTTGTACAAATGATACCCCGCATTTGGTAACGGGATTTCATTTTGTCACGACCGGAATTAACCCAGCGGGCATTCCATACGTGTGTGTATTACTCCTTGTCCCAGGAGGCAAGGTACACCAAAAGTTGATACAATTCAGAGTTTAACAAGCGGAAGCGTAAATAGTTAATTTATTACATGAGCGATGAAGGCCCAGCACACACGAAGATAAACGAGAAACAGCGGAAGACTAGGGCGACGACCACAGGCACTTGACGGCAGGCACGAGCTAGACACCAAAGCCTTCATCCTCCAGGAACTCCTCTTCTGGGCTGGGGAAAAATTAAGCAAGATTGAGTACAACCACCTACTCAGCAAGACACACCCACGAATGCAGAATAAATGCAAAGGAGTACAAGGGAGTTATAATAAAGGGGTTAGGGTTTGCAGTAAACAGCATTTAAAAGTCACTTAGTTGCCCAAAGCTATTTTGTAAAGACGATTCTAGAGCTACACAATGTTATAATCAAGGCCGTGTACCCACACGAACCTGCCTTAACCCAAGGCCTTCGATGATTCAGACCGAACTGACAACCCGACCTGGGTCCTAGCTCGTCCCAAGCCAACCCAGACCAACCATACCACATTTTAGTTGTTAAGCATGTTTTAAGAATTAAACCACTAACTTGGGTACATTGCTAGGCTTGCCCATAACCGAGGGCGCGGCTATTCGAATAGATTATACTTTGATCAGAGGTGTACATCTTTACCCACAAGACACATCTTTCTCATGTGTAACCATGTGCCACATACCACCACGGCATACCGACGAAAGACGTGACATAGTTCTCAATCCATCCTAGCCATAAACAAGAGTACCGACCCAACCCTGGCTACGGCCAGGATTCCCGAGACAGGTAACCAAGGTTGAGCCCCTAGCAGCAGGACACCGGCCATGTGCCATGACATCTCGACTACCGGGCCGCAGCTCGTGTAGCCTTAATTTGCCCTAGAGATGTCCATCGAGCCCCGACTTCGTCCATCCCTATCCGTGTATTTTTGCCCATGACCAGACTGAGCCACGAACTAAGCCTTACCCACTAGACATGTGGAAGTACGGTAGTGCTTTGCAACAGAGGCCCGAAGACCGGTCCTTATAGTGGCCGAGATGCTACTATCAAAACCATGCACCTCGAGCCCAGCCTAAAACCATTTTAGGGGTATTGAATAGAGGGGGAGGTGTGTGTCCAATTCCAACATAAGCCAACCATTCCATAATGTCCAAATGATATGAGAATTCCTAAAGTCTAAAGTTATAAAATCACCTAATGTTGTCTAATTAATCAGCGAGGCATCTACCTAAATTCATGCTCGTGGAACCATGAATAGGGTACCCACTAGTTGGGGGTTTTGTTTATCCTAGGGTAAACAAGGTAATAAATAACAATAGCAATAACAATAAGGTCATAACAAAGGTAAATAGGCATGGCTAAATAAAACAGTGATAACACGGGAATTTAAATAAAACGATATTGCAATAATTTAAACCAAAATAGTTTTATAAACTGGGATTCAATATGCTCAAGGATGATGTGACTTGCCTTGCTCGCTTTCCCAAACGTTGGCTTCAACCTCCACGTAGAGCGGATCTTCTGAAGCTGCAGCGTCTACACGGCCAATAGAAAGAAAAAGGCTTTTACTCTAATAAACTCCATATAACAAGCAGAAACAAAGCACAAAAATAGGTTCTTGACTTCTTAAGGAAAAATTAGAGACTTGAACGGTCCAATTCTGAGTTCAAAAGGCCAAGATATGGCCATTTGAAGTTTATATGCTCTTAATGTGAATATTTGCAAATTTCTTCATTTAAATTTTAATTAAAAAATAGGGTTTATTGTGTCAGTTGAGGGGAGGGAGCGCGCGGGCCGGGTCCATGGGAGTGGTGGGCCCCACGCGGCAGCCCCTCGGTCCACGGTGGACCGGGTGCACCCGCGGCTCACCAGCCGGCGCCGGGGGCCCCACACGTCAGCCGCACCCGAGGGCACGGGGGGCTGACGGCCAGGCCCCACGCGGTGGCCACACGGTGCGCCCAGAGGCGGCTACATCGGCGCGGCCGGCGGGAGGAGGCGCCCGCGCCCCTATGGCCGCCGGCGGCGGCCATAGGCGCGGCGGAGCGGCGGCCAAGAGAGGGGAAGGGAAAGGGGAAAGAGGCGGCGGTCCACGGCTCACCCCGGAGCGACGACAGCGACGAGGAGGCGGCCGAAGTGGAGGGAGGCGGTGGTGCGGCTCGAGTCGACGGGGTCGGCGGCGTTCCGGCGGTCGGCGACCGAAACGGAGGGGTGGACGAGGTCGGCGACGGTGCGGCGAAGCCGGAGGAGACGACGCCGAGGTGGGGGACGGTCCCGGCGAGCAGCTAGGCCCAGCCAGAGGTCGATGGCAACGGCGGAGAGAGAGGACGACGGCGCGAGCTCGATTCCGACGGGGAAAAAGGGCGGCGAGTGGCGGAAACGGACGAGGGAAGTGCGGGGAGGGTTTATATAGGGTTGGGAGTGAGAGAGTGCGGCCGGCGGGTGTCACGCCCGGAAATTCACTAGTAATTTCCGAACTTATTTGTGCATAAAACCCTCGTCTAGGAATCAGCCGAGGTACACAAACTGACAATTCAATATACAAATCCATGATAATAATAACGTTACATACTCACAAAAGAAAAGAAAACAGCAGCGGAATAACGGTCTAGCGATGGCTTCAGCTCCACTCTCACAGGCAGCTCAACTGGGGTATAAGCCAAACGTCTTCTCCTTCTGGATCCTTTTTCTTCAACTGAGGTTGATTGATTATTGCAAGAATGAGCATATGACATACTCAACAAGCCACACAGCAAATATGCAAGTGCACAAGGATACCAAAGGATGGCATAATATAGGCTCATTTGCAAAAGCAGCATTTAGCAAACATTTAAGAGAAGTAAAACAGTAGAGTAATTAATCATCAATTTTAATCAACACTGAACAGCACCCCAATGCTGCACAAACTCCAAACCAGGAGCTAAACAAATTATTACCAGTTATTGCATCAATAACTATTTGTGAGAGGTGTGAGACTAATCACGAAAAATATTGCTCAACCAGCCCATAACCGCGGGCACGGCTATTCGAATAGTTTTACTCTGGCCAGAGGTGTACCACTGTACCCACAAGACACGATTCCACACATGTTGCCATGCCCCGAAGTACCACCACGGCACTGCAAAGGGGGAAATCGTGACAATACCCTTCGCACAACACAACTCACCATAGTGCACCATTCCTGGATTATAATCACCCCCTCAAAAACCAAAGGCATGGACTCCCCAGCGACCCCCACGGACTTCTCGCCGCTTCTCAGTCTGGCACCCCGTAATGAACCATGCTATACAAAAGATAAAGCCGTTGCCCACGCTGGCTTGTGGTTGGTACGGTTAATGTTTCACAACAGTAGCTCGCGAACCGATCCTTAATTGTCATGAGCACGAACTTCAAAACCATGTGCTCACAACCCACCATTGACAAGTTTTAATTATCAATTAATTATCATAACACGATTAACCATCGTAAGCTACATTTAAATCTAACCATAAGTAATAATGTAATATGATTCACCCCATTAATGAGCTAATGTTTCTAAGCATGGCTAAGCAATTATATCTATATAGCATTTAGCTGAACCAAACCAATATATAAGGTTCTAGCTAATCGAATTCTAACCCATAGGAAAATAAAGTCATCTTCGGCCAATAATTAATTGGGAAAGGCTCACCACCCGATGACATTCGAAAATAATGCATAAGTTGAAATAAAACATTAGCTTTAAATGGGTTCAACATGCTCAAAGGGTCGTTTGGGATCTGTGTGACTTGCCTTGAGCTTCATCAAGCGCTTCTGAACCTTCCTCAACGAAAACGCTCTCCTTCAGAACGTCGGAAACTAAAGCGAAAGAACAAAATCAACAAAACAGTACAAAAACAAGCATAAACAATACATGTGGATATTTTTAACATGTAGATCTCGATTTTAGAAAAATTTAGCAACTTGAACCACTCAAATCGGAGTTACGATGAATTAGTTATGAATTTCTGAAGTTTTAATCTATTTGCATCTAGAAAAAAAACTGGAAAAAGAAAATATGACGTCATGCTGACGTCATCATCGCGCAATTTCACGGGCAACGACCTTGCCGGCGATAGAGAGGTCGGCAGGGCTATCTAAAGTCATCTACACGTAGAGGACGATGACGCGAACTCACCGGTACTAGCAAACGCGATGGACGACGACGAATGGTGGCCGGCGGCGAGCTCTAGCGGCGACACGGCTCGGGTCGTCGGCGGCGGCGGCTCTCCGGTGACCGGCAACGGCGGCGAGGGGGCAGCCGAGGTTCCCCGCCTCCGTGCGCACCTAACGGCGACGACGGGAAGCGGCGGCGACTGCTAACGCGATGGCGTGGCGCGGCTGAACGTCGGCCGGCGGCGGCGGCGGCTTGGACGGCGTGGCGGCGGCGCTACGGGGGACGAGAAGGCTCGGGAGTTGGTGCAAACGAAAGAGGACGCCAAGGGGATGCTATTTATAGGCTTGGATTAGAGAGATCGGACTCCAAACGAGAGGATTTGAGCCGGAAAATCCGAGGGTTAGTTGGAGAGATAAACTCGAAAACGAATTCGATTCCACGTTGATTTCTTCGGGATAAAGTGCGACGACGGGAAGCGGCGGCGACTGCGAACGCGACGGCGCGGCGCGGCTGGACGTCGGCCAGCGGCGGCGGTGGCTTGGACGGCGTGGCGGCGGCGCTACGGGGGACGAGAAGGCTCGGGAGTTGGTGCAAACGAAAGAGGACGCCAAGGGGATGCTATTTATAGGCTTGGATTAGAGAGATCGGACTCCAAACGAGAGGATTTGAGCCGAAAAATCCGAGGGTTAGTTGGAGAGATAAACTCGAAAACGAATTCGATTCCGCGTTGATTTCTTCGGGATAAAGTGCGATTCTTGGGGGGAAGGATAGAGGAGGATAAGAGGAATATTTCCCCTCAACTAATTTTGCAAACGGAGCACGGGATGCGGCGGATTTGGTGGAGGAAGCGGCGGCTGCACAGGTACAGGACGGCAGCTCGGGCTTCTGTCCAAGCTTGAAGATGAGCAGTACAGGGGACGCAAATTAGACTTTCGGCTGGGCTTCTACTTCCAAGGACTGATTAAAGGAGGGACAAAAAGCAGACGTCGGGAAAGAGAGCGAAAGGACTGCAGGCTGAGAGGAGACTGGGCCGAGAGTGAGAGGACTTTTCCTAATTCGGCCCGAAAAGGAAAAGGTGAATTTTAATTACTTTTCCAATTAAATTAATCACTGAAATGATCTTTGAATTGTTAAAAATACTTCTATTGCTCAAATAATTTCAAGAAAAATCTTGAAAATACTTGGACCCTCAAAGTATTTAACAAAATTATAATCAGACCATTTAATGATTAATTTAATATGTGGATAATTACTGAAATGTTCTTTGTATGATTAAAATTAAGAATTCAGCTCCGAAAAATCCGAGAAAATTCCAGAGAGTATAATTAACCATGGAGGATTTAATAAAAATTAAATCCATCCATGCTTTATATTTAGGAAATTTTATTTCCCACATTTAACTTCACTTGTAAATTAATGAACATTTAATATAAATTCTAATAATAATTTATTAAATAATTTATAAATCCTGAAACGAAAATCAGGACGTGACAGCGGGGGAGGAAACCGGCGCGGGAGACCCGGCCGCCATTAATGGCGCCGGCGGGATTAGTGGGGGGCTTCCATCCGAAATAAAGAGAGAGAGAGGGGAAAATGGGGGGAAAGGGAGAGGGAATCAGGGGAAATATTTCCCCCATTCAATTTTGAACGGGATCGGCGGAGCACGGCGGAGCACAGCGGAGCGCGGTGGATTTGGCGGCGGCGGGGGCGCTAGGCGCGAGCGGAGGGAGCGGCGCATGCGGCGGGAGGAAGGGGATGATTGGTGGGCCCCACCCGTCAGCGAGGGTGGCGGGCGGGCCCGTCCGTCAGCGGCTGCACGTGCAGGGAGAAGCCGAGTGGTCCACGGGGAAGAAGAGAGAGGAGGAGATGGGCCGGATTCGGCCCAAGAGAGGGAAGGAGGATTTTTAGAGGTTTTCTTTTTATAAAACCTTTTCAACTTTGTTTATTTCTTGATAATTATTATTTGTGCTCTGAAAATTCCACTAAAATTTATTTACACATTTTAGGCTTTTAGGAAATATACAAAAATCCTCCAAGCCTTTTTTGACTTTTAACTTTGCACATTTTAATTTTTGGAGGCTTTTCACTAGGATTTTAATTATTCTAGGCATAATTTAAAGGATGTATTTTAGGGTCGTTTTGGGGCGTGACACATTTGTACAACCGGGGTAAAAGTATATCAAAGATCCGTCTACTCCATGTTTAAGAATATGCCCATGCACTAGATAGTTCTCATCAATACAGGGACGAGCTGCTGAGATGAAAGCGATTTGGTCACTAACGACCCCTAGCACTTTCGCTATCCTAGTAATCAGAGAAATGCACTCAATAGGAGCAGAAAATCTTATACTTTCTAACCATTCCCTTATCATACATTTCACAGGAGCAATTTTGATTTTTCTAA